CATAATTAAACAGCATCAGATTAGATTTTGTTACAACAGGCTACTGATGGATCCTCCAAAATATACAGTGCATGTTCGGTAGGGAAGACTGAACGGTATTTAATAGCAACGGATAAAAAGAAGCTTGACGTCCAGTCTTCTTCAATACTGTGTATTAAACATGCACGACAGTCTTTACCAACCCACCTCTTATGGTTCCCCAACCAACAAACTAGGTGAATGCACACAAACGAAAAGGATATTTCAGACTGCTCAAGGACTTACAAGAACTGCGGTGTTTCTAGCTATTGGCTGGTGACTGGCAGCATTCTCCAAGAGCTTCCACGCTTCCTTCCGTTGATTGACTGCGAAGTTTAGCTTCTCTTGTTCCTCGTTGTAACTGGAATTGCAAGCCAGGACCAGGGCGTCGTCCATTTCTGAGAACATTTTTTTTACATTTAAGGTTAAGTTGAGCACAGCCTGGTTCCAGTGGTTTTGAGCGTTGCTTTCTAGAGCCGGGAGTATAATGGGCAGAATCACATGCCGATTATGTGCTATTAGATTGACAACTTGGTTATTATTCCAGAAGAACAGAGCCCTTTCGGCTACCTGGTACAGACAAGATAAACAATTATACTAGAAAATCAGTTTTTAATTAACAAACCACCTTTTTTTCATCATAGAGAAACTTGTATTACTTGGGTGGGGGGGTGGGGGGGGGGGGAGCAAAAGCATATATAGTCAATTTCATCATCCAAGGACATAGAAACAGAACATCTAGTGAAAGAGTTGAAATGATGGTCAGCAAACCAAAATCCATCATTCAAATGCACAAACGTGTTTCAAGGAGTAAAAGACAGAAGAAAAATCCAGATTGACTCCTCCGGATCCCCTCTAAACAAGAAATAGGTTTCCTTTTAGTTTTTTTCCCGTGTGTGCATCTTTGAGATGGATTAAGGTGGGTGGAAGCCATAGGTAGGTATGTAGAAAGAAAATGACGAGAAATGATTCCCTTATTAAGACGCTTACAACTCCATCCAGCACACATACTTCATTCAGTGAGTTCAGCAATAGCAATGTGTGAATTGTAAATCCGTAAAAAGGTTATGAAAGAAATTGAAAAGCAACAAACTCTCCTGAAACCCGATTTTATTAGCCACATCACTCTCTTGAACATGGTCGACAAGATTTTTTAGAATTCTATATTTCAACTCCAAATTAAGTCCATGAAGGTCTCCATACTATTCTCCACTCAACAACACAAAATAGTTCAGCACAGAGATTGAATTTCAGCAGATACCTTATCACTTCTTACAGGTCATAACAAGGATGTCCGACCGAAAGAAGTCTTGGCTAAACAAAACACGTGCAATGAAGATTCCTCTGTATCCTTTTCTTCATAGTTTTTACAGATTAGAGCCTCAATATTATCATTTCAACAAATTCCCATTCTCAAGTCTCTATTAACTGCACATCATACAAATCAATGACAAAATTTTCTTTTCTCAACTTCAACGTCCAGAACAAGCCAAGCCAAGCCATCTGCAAATGCTAATGAAAACCTTTCACTTCGTAAACCACCACTAAACCTTCTCCCAACCCCCAAAAAACACAGTTAAACAGGAACTCAACAAAAGTACAAAAATCATGTCTACAGGTCTGATCTATTTCATGTCAAAAAATTAACTGGACCATATAATGTGCCTGTCACCTTAACCAAG